ATATATATATATGCACATACAAATAAATATGAAAAAAAGAAAATAGATGCTAAAATATATATTGAAATATATTTTTTCTATAATTATTTTAAAATACTGTAAAAATGTACTCAATTAAATAAATTTTCCCCTACCATCTGAGCGATTCAAGTGTGATATTGCAAGTAATGCAGAAAATCATTCTATATCAAATTTTCAAAAATGCAATTAAAAAAAACTTCCCTAATATGCATTTTTCTCATCATCTGAGTGATTCAAGTCACTGCAAGTTTTATAGAGATAAAACAAACAATATATCGACTATTCAGAGACACTTTTTGTAATATCTATTTGTTGTTTAACACGTTTACCACAATAACACTATAGGCTGATGTCTTTGAAATACCTTCATTTAGGGGCCTTTCTTAGCAAAAAAAAAAAAAGTATGACATTTCAATCCCTTTTACTTATTGTTTAGTGTTGCCATATGTAAGTAAAATATTAAAGGCTAATTTTTGTTTGTATGATGTTTTGAAATGGACGTTTGCAAATGCGAGTGCTGAAGGCAGCAGTATTTTCCCATCCATTACCTCACCATTGCAGCCGTTCAGGGCTGGATTTTTGCTGTGTCTGCTTCTAATCTACCTCAGTAAATCCAATCCAAATGGCATAATGTCTTTACAGAGGGGGAGTGGTGAGGCGGGGGGAAAAAAGGGAGAAATACAGAGCGAGAGACTAAAAGATGAGGCAGAGTCTTAATTGGATTCTCTCTGTCCATGTGATATGTATTGTAGTGGCCTAATTCAAGATGAATCACCCTTGGCTTGCTAGAAGCTAAGCGCGTGGCCACAGCATCAATAGCTATCTCCACAGGCTCTGCCGTGAAGCTTTCTCAACACTTCTGTGTGTGTTTTTCTTCTTTGTCACACACAGACAGAAGATAACCACGGCTGTCACTTCAAGTGGCACCTTATAATCTTGAACAATAATGCGGCCATGTCCGTTTTCGCCTTTGATGCCGACTAGCCGCTCTAGCAAACCATTGTTAGCATTTCACAAATGCAAACAGGTTCAGATCTGGTTCCAAAGCTTAACTTTTAATTGTTTCAAATAGTTAATTATAGAAACCTGTTTCCATCTCAGAGTTAAAAATACCACTTTATATCTCACAATTGTGACTTTTTGTTTCACTGTTGCAGCTTCATTTCTTGTAATTGGATCCTTGCATATCACAGTGTGACTTTCTTATTTTAAACTTTTTCATAGTTAAGTGTTTTATTTCTTTTTTGACTCTGAGGTGCAAGTCGGTTTCCATTGTCAAACCTTTAAATGAATGTTAGGCATGTGTTGATGCACTTGTTTTGTGCGATTGTATTTACCATTATGAACATTATTTTCGAAAGTTTTGAACAAATAAAAACCACAGTTATAAAATATTTTAATTAAAGGGATCATGTGATGTTGCTAAAAAGAACATTATTTTGTGTATTTGCTGTAATGATATGACCCCTTTAACTTTGAACATTTTTGTGCCAAGTTTATTCTGTAAAGAAAGTGGTGTTAAAATATTAAAATATTTCTACATTTAATTTGAGGATTTTGTTTTGATTGGGTCTTTATGTAGAAAAATAGACACTACATATGTGTGGAGAAAAGACTGATTTGTTAGATTATATTTTACAGTTTTTTTCAACTGCTTACACACAAAATCTTTACTTGTCACACAATTTCTGAAAGCTGACACTCCAGAACCAACACCAGAACCACACACCAAATCTGCA